ACGTATTTATGTGGTAGGAAACGCAAGAATTTCCGATGGACCATTTCTTCAACCGTTAGCGTAATACCTCAAAAGGATAAAAGGATCGGTCAACGTGTGATGTTCTTTATCCATTGCTTTTTGCTTATTGTAATAATTATAAGTATTATAAAAAATTGATTAAGATTTTCTTGATTCCGCTTGATATTTAGGCTTTGCCTAACTCCTTTCTGCCACTAACCCGAAATTGGGTACGGTGCGAAATTACAAGCCGTCAAAGCGACAAAAATAGAAAACTTTTTTCTTTTTAGAATGTCGGTGTTTCCTGCATTTCCCACATCGACCGAGCCTCCAGCCCATGGGCAAGAGCCCGTGCCTCATTGCGATCGTAGGCAATGCGCGGTAGAAAAGGGTTTCGAAGACGTCATCTACAGCACAACCACATTAAAAATTCTGGAGAGCGTCACCACGATAGCTGTTTTTCTCGTAAGCTCCCTTCTACTGCTCGTACTACTCATTGGAAGACGTCGGTTCACGGTAAGTACCCATTAATTTCTCATGGAGCCCCTCGAAAAGTGGCATGAATGACGTCATCATTGCAGGTACCGTTCTTCAGAATCCTTACCGTCCTGGTCACCGTTATCGTGACCCGTTCTGTGGTCAGTATTGCATTTAAGCTAATCACCCTGTGGACAGGAGTACCGATTGCCAGCCAGAATATCATCACATTAGTGGTTGATATTTTTAGCAAGAAAATGATAATTCTATTGATTTTTCTTCTGGCACTGAATCGATTCGCTATTATTTTATATCCCATACTGGACAGCCTATTATTTGCACGGTGAGATTAGATAATTCTCAGAATTTGAACTTAATTGAAACCGCTCTTTCTACTCTCACTTAAAGGCACAGGTCGCGACCGAATTGATGCGTTATTTCACTCGAATATGAAACAAGGAAAGCGTCGATGAGCAAAAAGCAAAGGGAAACATAGAAAAACTGGAATTGAGGATCTCTTTTTTGTGTGTCCAAGCCAACATGGTGCATCCGAGATACCGAGCAGCAGCGAGTGGAGAGGACATGCGCGAGAGAGCACGTCGTACAAGAAGACGCAGAAACCACACACACTGCAAATTAACTAAAGTGCAGCGGTCGCAGCGATCGCAGCGGTCAATGCGAGTCCTCAACGCCCTAGTCACGCATTACGTGTCACTGCAGCGTCACGACTCCTCTACTTATGGACTTCGTTAATTCGCTCGCGAAGAGAACTGACTCATTATCTAATCTCAACCGGGCGCTTTGGAGTTCTCGACAAATACTACTCACTGATTTGCACCTCCTTATGAGAAGCAACAATACGTCACCCTTTATCTCTAGAAAATTGTAATTAAATTTCCCCAGTTTTTCAACGTGCTACCTTTCGTTACAAAAGTTTGTAAGGGCTCGGATTGGTGAAAGAAGTAGTTCCCTTTCCTCAAAGCCTGAATTTCACTGTTTGAGGTGGAACGGCTTATGCTCAAAGCAACAATCTCAGATGAGATCGTGTCTCCAGCGATCTATTCTGTTGGTAGGATGGAGTAACACGCGAGTATCAGTTGTGCCGTCGTCACAGCTCGAAAGTCCGCGACGTTGGCGCTGGGCCTTACGAAGTGAGCTAATGACACCAATATGAGCTGATGGACGAGATACCTTGCGCATACCCATGATACGCAACGTGGATCACGGCGTGGGGACTGATTCAAATATGCGCGGGCGGGTTAATGGAGCCATGAGGCGAGCAAATTCAGAAACTCGTCCGGACCAGCCCACCTCTCATTTGAGTGGGAGGAGAGGGAGTACTTGTTTGAGGGCTCCATCGGCGGTCTGCTCCGCTTCTCTTTTTCGTTTCTGTCAACTCATATCACTTCTTCCACCACCACACTTCCTTTCGGAATCCCCAATAGGACCCTACTCAAGAATCACAAATACGATCCCATCATCGAGCTTACGCATAGCTATGAAGCTGAGAAAGCCCCAGCGACACAGGATTCCACTCTCAGAAGTGAGAGGTCAAGCTCACCGAGAAGTCGATCCAACGACCTCTGGCCTGTGAGTCCAATCACGACCGCTGTGTTTTCGGCTCCACAATTGAGTTCAGAGGAACGTTCAGTAGGTAGCAAAGTCCAATTTCATCTCAGCGTCTCAAGGCCCGTACAAAATGCTCACCTGATTTCAGCTGACCCAACTGACTAGTGACCTTCCTAGTGAGCCCAACGGACGATTAATCCTGGTTAGGGATCTGATTGTACCTCTATTTTCTATTATTTTTAACGGATTTGTAACTTATTTCTCAACGTTTTTTTTACACAGCGTGGTCCAATAAATATATAAATATTAGTAAATATATAAAAAATGTGGTAGATAACTATATACTACTAGTTCAGATATCGCTATATTTTCCTGTGTCTAATCAGCTTTGTGATATCAGCGGCAGTAACCTATGCCGTAATAACGACGTCGAACATGCGTCGGGAATTTGTGCCAGAAATTGGATTTGTTGACTATATTGACTCTGCCGAACCTTACGAGGTACACGTTTGATTTGGTTCGCAGCTTAATGATCATATCTAATCTTTAAGGGAACAATAAAACGATGTTGCACAGGTGTTATTACCCGACAAATTTTCTACCTATCCAAGCTTTTTACCCGGCCCGGTCGCCGAAACCCCCTTCCCTGCGTAAGCTTTGCGTTCCTCCTCCTCTCCTTATCCTCCCCTCCTCCCTCCACTGCTCTCCAGCTGCCACTGCAGCACCTTGTGAAATGTGCTAAGTAGGTGTTTATATAGCCGTTGGGGTGTTATCACAATCATGCCATTGCAAAACATTGATAGGGCAAGCCCTGCGAGCTACCCAGATTTGTTAGCGGCTTGTTTATTCCATTAGCTGCCTTATCACTCACTTCATTTTGCGGACGGACAGACAGACAAACACACAAACAAACCGACACACCAAGTTGTGGTTTATATAATGAAGTGATTTATCACTGCTTATCAGCACCTCTATGAAAAAA